TGAATTTCCATGCTGCGTTACACTTTGATGGTTGTCAGACCTGTCTGACAGATAGCTTTCCAAGGACGTTTTCTTGGAGTTAAGCTATTTGCATATTTCCACTCTTACTTTGCCTATTATTTACAAAGCAAATGGTCAAATTTGTGAAGCTGCTTTGTTGATGGAGGCTCTTAAATATAAAGATTTTACTGTGATGGTGCAGCGCTTTGGTCACGTCAGATTTGTGAAGAACAAAAAGAATGAAGAGAAAAGTCAGCCACAGGGATCAGCAGAATGTGTCAATTTCCTTTCTCCTGTAATGAAAAATGTCCTTGTTCTGGAAAGTATGAATAGTTATTCACTCCCTGCATTCTCACAGTTCAGGACAAGGGCCTGCTTTCACAGGCACTGATTCAAAAAAAGGATCACCAACTGTCCTCATATCTTTGTGTCAACTTTTAAATACCTTCGATACGGAAAATATTCGGAAGAGAGCTGAATTCAGTATTATCTTGACAAAAAAGCAGCAGGCATGTGTGTAGTGGCGTGTCAGAGGATGCATTAAGAACATAGTTACGTGTGCATGAGTGAAAACAAAAAGGTTGGGAGGCAAACAGAGGAAAGAGACCGACTGACTTGACAGGGACGCGCAACAAAGAAGGAAACATAAAACAGATTTATGCAAACTCACATCATTTGTCGGAGAACAAATGAGTTTGTTGAAAAGGAAAAAGGTTTCTAGGAAGAAGTGTTCTGTGTAATGGAACTATAGTCATTGTGTCTGATTCTATTCTCAGTGAAACACTGAATCCACACAAAGAGGGCAAAGTTGAGGGAAAACATACTGCGACACTCCTAAAATAGTATTTGATTTGGACGTACAGTTCTAGGAAAAACCTTTAATTGATAAGAACTTTTATTAATTGGATAGAACCTTTGTATTCTGTGGAAATTGGCCTTTTATTACCTTGTTAGTTGTCCCTGCTCATATGAAGCATTATTCAACATTTCATATACTTAAGACTAAATTATTGTTTTCTCATAATGTTCTTTCAAAGTGTAATGACTTCTGCCACCTTAAAACATATGCTCAGTTTTGTTTACATCATTGTGCACCAGTGGGCGGGGGAAAAATATTAACCAATAATGTCGTGTTTCACCTCCCCCTCCTACAGCCCCCCAATCATTGAGTGAAAACAGCTAGCTCAGAGACCCTTCCTGATATGACGTTTGACCTGAAAGGTTTCCAATTCACAGTCATTTTAAAAGATTTTTCACACTCTTTTAAGAACGATCCACTGTAAGGTTCTTTAGGGAATATGGTTCTTCTAAGCCTTCTATCACTCCAGAGAACCCTTTTTGGCACCATTTTGGCATTTTTTCAATGGTTTCAGTAAAGTTACGAAAGCTTAAACAAGAAAAAAAATACAAGTGTAAAATAATCTTTAGAAATCCAACCTTTAAGAATTTTTCTCTTCTTACACTAATCAGAACATAATATCATCTCACAGTGACCACATGACAGTCAAAACCATATTCAAAATAACATTCAAGTTAATACAAGCCTGTAGATCAGTGGTGTCCAATCTCAGAGGGCCAGTGTGGTTGCAGGTTGTCATTCCAAACAAGCAGCAGCACACCTGATTCCACTTGTTTAATCTATTGGTCAGTCTTGTAAACAACTGATTATGTGCACACCTGCTTTCATTCCTGCTTTGCTGGAATGAAATCCTGCAGCAATACCAGCCCTTGTGGATAAGAGTGGACACCCCTGCTGAAGATACTCTAAAAGGCTCTGAACGAATGATAAAACAAGGTAAAAACTGCACTACTGATTTGCCAACTTGTTCATTGTGTATACTTATATGGTAAAATGTTTTCTATAAGCATTTACATTGTCATTTGACAAGCACTCATACCTGTAAAAGATTCATAACTAGATGACAAGTCTTATTTTGGCTTGATCACACACAAGTGTAAAATGTACAGTAAGAGGAATGACCTGGCAAATTGTTGTAAAATATTAACTGATTTACTCTCTTGAAAACAACATTCCTAAAATGTTCTAAGCATGGATGTACAGTTCTAGGAAAAAAAAAAACTTTAAATGATTTACATTATGTGGAGGTTTTTTAAACTTGAAGGGCCGATTATCCAGACCCAGATTAAGTCTAATCCTAGACTACAAAGAATTTCAAATGGTGATTCACCATTGGCACTGCAATTTAGTCTAAGACTAGGCTTAATACATGTCTGGTAAATCAACCCTACACATTTCATTTACAAAAATGATTCCTAACAGAACCATCAATTGAAAGGTTCTTTAGGAAACTAAAAGTGGTTCTTCTGTGGCATCACTCAAAAAAACTGTTTTGCACTAATAGACATAAATTATGTTTATATGCCTTCAGCCTCTGTCATACACAGTTGTGTGCAAACTTTTGGGCACCCCTGGTGTTAAATATGGCATTTTATCTGCACATTTTAATGTACACTTTTCTAAAAATTGTAAAAAATAAAACACACAGTACAAAAATGTGGCACAACGTTTGATTTAATGTATTATTTTGTATTAAGCAGTAAGTGTGCATTAAAATGTGCAGAGGTTCTCTTTAGAGGATGAGTACTTATTTTCACTGAGCAGGGGTGCCCAAATATTTGCGTATGTTGTGCAGCCAAATGGCACATGCATACACCAATGGATGAACTCAGATTCTCATTCAAAACCCTTCGACACACATTTCGGTTAATAATGTAATGAAAACACAATGCAGTACAATGCAGACACTCAGACTCCATTTTTCCATAAAACCAAGCTGCCGTTTAGCTAATAAGACACAAAGTAGAACTCCATTTATGACTGCAGTCTGTTTTCACTTCTCTTGTTTGCACAGATGCTTCATGGCCTAAATGTCCCTCACCCCCTAGAGATCACAAGAAAGACCCAATCAAGAATCACCACGGCTAACATGTTTGGTATGGCAACACTATGTGGGACAGCACACATTACGTTGCATATATCTTTATCAGGCTGTCTAGCTTTCAAATCTAAGGATTTGCTTTGGTAATTCCTAACAAATGTATCACACAGTTTATGTTATCTGCTTTAGGATGAGGTTTATTTACATAGTTCTGCAGCCTTCTTACTTCATTATCTTTACACTCTGTGACTCCCTGTGCACCACACCTCCATGAGAATAAACAGTATTTTGCATTAGTAGAAGGACAACAGCTGCTAGTGGTCTGTGTTGATTCAGCTTTATCAACTGTCCAAACATATGAGGCAAATTTCCCCCTCTAAAAAATAAACCCACCAAGGAAAAAGTCATGGGGAACAAGGAAGTTGGTGTCAGTTCTAGCCTAAACTTTCTGATATTAATTAACGTTTCAGCAAATCTGCCTGAACTTCTCAATGCTTTTCTCAGAGGACATTCTCACACAATGAATGTTCTCACCCCCGCATACATCACAGTATGCCAAACTAAGAACTGTTTCCAATGCATCGGAATCTTATGGGGTTAGAAGTAAGGCTCATAGGCCTTTACCATGCATGAGCTGCCTGAACAAAAACTCCCTTAGCCAAGCATCGAATCTGTTGTCTGTAAACAGTGATGATACTGCAAGTAGACGATCAACTCTAAGCTGTGAGGCCTAATGTTGGCTTCATGCACTGATGGTTTCTACATCAGGAAAATGATTTTTGTATGAAATGTTAAGGGTCAAAGTATAATGCACTTGCATGACGCACAAAGTGCTGTTTTGCTCAGACCACACTGAAAACTAAAGCAATAAACTTTATCCAAAAATAGCAATGCAGGGCAATGAAATGCATTCAGAAATGTCTGTTTATCATGACATCAAACATGCAGAACCTAAATGCAACTGATCTGTTTTCCAAGGCTGCACAATAAACCTATGTGCCTGGATGTTTAAAATTAAACAAAAGCTCCAAACCCAGGCGCTTATTGTGGAAGTTCAAAGAGGCGCATTACAATGCAAAGGAAAAACAGCGTTTTCATTCTTCTTGCCTCTGTTTCTGCAGGCTGACAGGGGCAACACGCGATACGCGACGTGCAGCTCAGCTGCTGGGCCCCTTTAAATAAGCCCCACCCCGAAATCAGTCGATCAAATTCAGCATCGCGCTCTTGCGCCTCTGACCAATCAGATTCGTCCGGGGGCGGTGTTAGAACGGTGGTCCGGGACTACGTTAACCAATGAAATCACGAGCTCTTTGAACAAAAGGTTTACGAAACTCATCACTCTGCTTATTATTCATGTTCACTGAAGGGCTGTTTAAGGAGCCCTGAAAGGAGATAAGACATAACGGTCCGCGCGTCTTTGTCACTTAAAAACATGAATGTCCCGCTGTGTCAGGCGTCCTGTTAGGCGGGACAATTAAGAAGATTTGTATCGTTTTTGACAAGGTTATAATAGATAATGTGGGAAAACCTACTCTAAAAGTTACTGTTAACAGCTGTTTCGAACCAGCAAAACAAACTTAGAGATGCTCATTAGGAACGGATAATTCTCACACATATTAGCGTAACGAACTAATACGTCCAGACACAAAAGACGAAGCTGAAGTCAGCTTCTTATTCTCCAGCTTCTTGTCCTAATTTCCCCGTTCCGCCTTAAATGGTGTAGCAGTTACATTCTGGAACCTCTGGCGCCAGCACCATTTAAGGTGGAACGGGAAAATTCATATAGGAAGCCAACTTCAGCCTCGTAAACAAAAGTTAAATACAATAAATGTTAGTGTAGCCACATTTTGTGACAGCAAAAGTTGGCCAAGGCTTACTTAAGAGCCACACACATTTCTTCATTTCCTCATGACAAAGCTTTGTGAGAGCCAGCAGCTTTATTCGCTTTATCTGCAGTTCTACTGAGAACAGGGTCTTAATTAGTTCGGCTTCGTTTGTCTGACAGTGCCGTTTTAAAAAGCACATTTAACGTGTGACATCAGCTGGGAGTGAGGCATCGCTGTATTTTAGCCCCCGCCCAGCCACCAAAAAACCTGAAGTCTCCCGCATGACTGGCTTCATTTGAATGGAGTGAGAGGGGGGAGTAAGAGGTCCTCCTCCGTTCCTCTGCATTGCCAGCTGAGAAGTCCGTCGCCGCATCACCGAGACACATTCACTCGCTTGCACGACTGGAACATTTATGGTGCTTTCTGGCTGATAGACCTATAACGGACTTACTGTCCTAGGCTATCAGAAAAAAAAAAAAACGGAAACACTACTGTTAGCTAACGTTTCGAGTTGGGAACAATTAGATTCAAGCGAGCTAGCTCTCTCTTTCGTGAAAGAAAGACCTAAAAGTCAAAAGAGGACCTCGTTCTTCGTCATTGTTATTTATCAGTTAGCTAACTAACATACGTTACTTTTCAACACATTTTCAAGCGGCAACATGACGAGAAGATCTTGTGCCATTTACGCCACCGGGATTGTGTGCGCCCATCTGCTGATCGTGGGGATCGCCCTCCTGGTGGCTCAGGTCTTCCAAACCATGATTCAAGAACGGATAAAAAAGGTAAGTGAAGCTGAGGTTTTAACTAGCTAACATTTGATATGGTTGTCTCATTCATACGGCTTGCGAAGTTAAATAGATTTCATATTTTCGGCACGTACACCATCAGTAACGGCCAGAGGGTGTGTAGCGTTAGCTAGCTTAGCGACTTTCAAAGTTATGAATCATAACGGAATTGTAACGGTCTTCTTGTAACGGTTCTTCTGGAACGTTAGCCAGCTAACTCTCTCTTTTAGAGTGCCTTCATTCAGCCGGTAACAGCTCAATTAGCTAGAAAACAGCTAGTCTACCGTATATCTGACCACGCTAGCTAACTCCACCACTGCACTAGGACAAGTTCCTATTCTAGCTGGTCTGTGTCCTCACCTCAGACTCGGAGAAGTCGACCGGCTTCGCCTGAGTCATAGGAAAATTTGTATTTTTGTCCTAAGTGCTCATATTTTGTGTACTGGCCACTTCACTCGCTTGTTACAGTTCGTCCAAACAATGCGAGTCAAATCTTCCATGTGTTTCACTCAGCGATTGCTTGTGTCACTAACCTTCCTGTGAGCTAACGCGTATCGGAGTGGGTTGGTCCTCCACAACCTGTGCTACTGCGCAAGATCGATGCTTTCAGGTTTGTCCCCAGCTTTCCACACGCCAGGTGCCTTTCGCGGTGCAGTGAGAGGGGGTTTATCCTCAGACCAGCTGATTTTTCTGGCTTTTGTAATGAGATGTTAGGTGTAGGGGGAGGTGTGGTGTAGTAGTAAAGGAGAGGTGGGGGAAGGGTCTTTAACTGGCGAAGCGAGGGGAATTCTCCTTGAGAAATACTTGGAATTCTGCACCTCCCCACCCCCAGCAGATTTAAACTAGATTGAGTTCCTGCTATATATATATAGTGAGCTTTAAATTCAGAAGTATGAGTAGGGGGCCGACACAAATTTCAGTTTGCCTGAAAGACAGAAATTCAGATCCGTTGTAATTCTGTATACGCTTGTAGGCACCAGTCTGACCAAAGTTCTTTCAGGAATGGAGTTTTTGGTGGACCGCCCTGGCACCTCATCTTGTTTTATGTGGACTGACACAGATCAGGAGGACAGTTATTTAAGCAGAGTGACTTTTTCTAGCCCTTAGGACCTGCATGCCTGTTGAACAGGGTGTGGACGGGGTGGAATGGTTTTAGTTTATATATCTGACCTTGCCCTCAGCTGTAAGACTAGACTGGATTTTCTTTTTGCTTTAGGTCGCCCTTCGCTTGACTTCCTTAAACACCTAACTTCAGCTGTCTTAACAGCTCGGAGAGTCTTTGAAAGTGTTGACGTCTGTTAATATGTTACAAATCAGCTTTTCAGTGGTGTTATTTTGAAGACTTTCTTTCAGAAATCATTAGGAGCAGGAGTTCTCTGAACTGCGTCACTTATTTGGAGCAGCGTCATTTCCAAAGGTGCAGACCGCAGAAAAACTGGATTTAAACCAGTTTTGGTACCTACGTGTCTAGTCTAGTTTTGTACGTTTAGCTCTTTCTATGGATGGGGGGGACATATAGGATGGAATTTATTGCTGTGCGGGGTCAAGGTTTTTAAAGTTCTCTTGCTTAATGATTATGACGTCTTCGAAGGACACTTACAGACCTTTCTTTTCAAGGCTGATGACCATGTCCATTACGTTCAGGGGTTATCAGTACTTGTTTCTTAGAGTTTCCTGGCAACTTTATCTCTTGGAAGTGCCACAAGGGCATCCATTAAGAAATCCTGGAATTGAGATATGGGATTATGTGCACGGAGTTCCTTGAGGATATTTTATTGAGTTTTTAGCCTCATGGAACATGAAGCATCTTGTCAGAGAACTTTAGGACAATTTTCTTTTTTTTCGGAGAGAAGATTTAAGGATATTTAAGGTGATGTGTATTTAGTCATGACGCAGTGAAAGGGGGAAAATAAATACTAAGGTGTGGTCTGACGAATCCCGGTGTTTGGCATTTTGAAGTAATTGTTAGGCACTAATCCTAAAACCTACACATTTTCAGCTGTTTAAACAACATGTTTATAGATGTCCATAAGGATCAGCGTATTGCTTCAGTACGCTTGAGTCAGAGCAGTCCAGTTGTAAAGGACCTGCGTGACCAAACTAGAGCCGAGTTTTACCACACATGGATAAGCAAGCTGAATGGCTGACGATTTTCTCAAGTGCATTATACTTTACCCACAGTGCAGAGAATGCAAGCAGTTAACCCCTTTTAAAAAGGTTCCTGATCAGTACATTTCTGAGTCCAGCATTACAGGTTCCCCTTTGTATAAACCACCTTAATAATTCTGTTCTCTGTTCTGTGCTTAACATGATACTATAATAGTAGTGTAAGAAGATCACCTTTTTTTTGAAAGTTAAGTTTTGTTTTAAATTGTGTATAATGGTCTTTGGAAAAGGAATGTTCCCGTCCAATAAGTGAATCCTTTTTCCGTAGGATATAAACACATACCTGAACTGTAGTGCCTTGTCCTCTGTGCAAGCAATTTCACTATATAGGAAGTATGATAATTTTTGTGAACGAGTAATAAGTAAACAAACTTACTCAACTAGTTAACCAGTAGATGTCTTATTTTTCTATGAAAAGGCTTGGAAAAACACAACAGTCCCATGTTAATGAGAGCCAAGGATTATTTTACTGTTCTCAGCTCAAGGTTTCTTAAACCAGATAGTGTTATCTACTTATCAAGGCAACGTGTGATAATACTGTTGTTGTTTTGAAGTCCCAAAGTTGTTCTTGAACCTTCTGACACATGGAATTTTTTTGTTTTGAAGTGCTAGATGTTTGAGATTTTTTGAAGAATTCCTTTACTCCCCAATATACATATCTGCCCCAACATAAAAGAGCATAAGGAGAACCGTAAGTGCTTAGCTTAGGCTTGGTTCATTTCCTGTCTTGGATTTTAGATGACAGCACAGAGAAAAGTTGCCTTATTCTAAAGCTAAGACATAAGATGAGGTTTTTGTCTGTCACATACTGCTGACTGAACATTGTCTTTTCCCTTTGTGGCTGACCTATAGTGACCCACTCTGTCTCTGGTCTTCTGTTTTTTTTTTTTTCTGAATCGGCACTATTTTGTGTTTGTGTGCTGGATTTCTGACCATTCACGTATCACCTAAAAAGCCTATAAGCCAAGCTTCAACCAGCATTATATGAGGGCAGTCTTTTACTAACTGGAACCAAACTCTGTATAACCTGCTTAAATCAAGTTTGAGTCACTATTGGGAAGTAAATGTGGTCCAGCTGACTGCTCGGAGGTCATGTGTGTGTTTGAGTTTGACGTCGTGTAAAGGTTACTTAACATCTATGTTCACATGTTCCTTAAGAAATGTTTAGATAGGTCTGAGATAGGTTCCCAAGCATTACTTGTATAGTCAGTTACTTCACTGGCTTTTTTTATTTGCTTTGCAGGAGGTCACACTAGCTGAGAACAGTCGAGTATTGAGTGGCTGGATAAACCCACCAGTTCCAGTATACATGCAGTATTTCTTCTTCAATGTTACCAACCCTGATGAATTCTTGGCTGGCCGAGCAAAGCCCAATGTGACCCAAATGGGCCCTTACACTTACAGGTAAGATAGTCGCAGTGCTCCTTTCTGAATGGTTTCATGTGTCAAGCTTGCACATCGAGTTTGAAGTGCTTGTGGTTTTTGTGCTTCTTTTCACTCTAAGCATTTCAGGAAGTCAGGTTAGTTGCTAAACTTAACCTGCAGAAAAAGAGTGTTTTGGTCACTAAATCAAACATCACAGCACATTATTTGTTTATCAGTGTTATGGCCTGTTGGCATGTGCATAATCTAGGGTGTCACAGCACTCCGGAAGTGGCTCAGAGACAGAGAGAAAATAACAGAGGAAACGTTTACCCAGAAATGTCAAACATCATGGAACTATAATGAGTCGGTGGCAGCACCAACGAGTTGATTGGCACAGCTTGCTGTGGGCCAATAAACCATCTTTACTTGTTTTACTATTGATGAATGGTGATACATAAGATCAAATATTCAGAAGATCTTGAGTGGAGTTCCTCAAATGAATTGTAATGTCTTTGTGATCTCAGGGAGTACAGGCCACGGGAGAATGTGACATTCTTGGAGAATGGCACAAAGATCTTTGCTACGAATCCCAAGAGTTTCGTCTTTCTTCCCGAAATGTCCGTGGGAGACCCTGAAGTGGACATGTTGACCACCCCCAACATCCCGTTCATTGTGAGTTTGTCTTTGATTTTCTAATGGGGCGTGGATAAAGTTCGTAATCACTTTGTTAACGACTTTATCAAGGTCAAAGGAGATCATTGGATGTGTAGAGATCCTGACTTTTTGTCCCTCTGCAGGCTGTGATGAACGAGATGCATTCCTATTCCTTTTTTATCCGCCCGTTGGTCTCCATGTTTATAAAGTCATTGGGTGTGGAAATGTTCATGACGCGCACCGTACACGAGTTCCTGTGGGGCTTCAAGGACCCACTTATGACTAAACTCCATAGTTTGAAGCCGGACGTAGATGAGTACTTTGGCCTTATGTATAAGGTAGGAATCTTCATACTACTTGATGTGTTATCTGTTTAAGGCTATGCTGAGTTCTAGAAATCAAGAAAGAATGTGTTATTTGTTTATGTATTTATTCGTTTGAGAAAATAATTTTGTTGTCTTTGCTGTTATTGACATGAAACCCTATCCAAATTTGAATAAACACCCTTTACCCATAACATTGTTCATAAATGAGTCTAAATTTGTGCAACTCATGCAGCCACACTCATTTCAGACTCCAGTCATTTGTCTGTGATAAGCACTCTGTACAAGTACAGCCAACATCAGCTGGCTGTCATTCATGACCTACAGATATATAGGAAAGTGCTAGGTCAGACGTGGTGACCTGATTTATACTAACAGGGTTTGGATTCGTTGGACTCTTCAGGGATTAAAAGCTGAATGGAATTAGAGATGATGAATGAAAGCTGTGGTTTATGCAACATTTTCTTCAATGCACTGATAAGAAAGAAGCCCAGCCCAGTGCAGATCTGTTTGCATTAATAATGATTTTAGGCTTTTTCTGTGGTTGTGGTGTTAACCAAGCCTATAAAACAAGTGCCATGTCTCCAGTATTTGGATGAGGACTGTGAATGAATGTCTTTCTTTTTTTCTTTTCTTGTTTTTAGAAAAATGGAACCCATGAAGGTGAATTTGTCTTTCATACTGGAGAGAAGAACTATATGGACTATGGCAAAATTGAAACATGGAACGGCATAAGGTACCCACTGCTTTGCATAATGTCCCTTTGGCTTAGTAGACTTTGTGAGAATTTTTTACTCACTGAAATAACATTGCCTCAACTTTTGCTTGCCGAATTTTCAGGGCTTGCATCGAGTACATGCCAAGCAAATTGCAAAGTGTAAAGTCCAAGTAAAGTCTCTCAGCAGCATAGTGAAACAGGACAGTTCTTCCCAATGCATGGAATTTCTAATAAGAGTCTGCCAATTTTAAGTTGTGATTGTTTCATGAAATATTTTAATCTTATTTTGCAGATTTTAAAAATATCAAAAAAATGTTCCTTGTTCTTGATACTATAAATCATTTCTCAAATAAAATTGTTTGAGTAAAACAGTCATGCATAAGTGTGTTCTGTTCCTGTAGGAAGATGAATTGGTGGTCGTCAGAGCAGAGTAACATGATCAATGGCACAGATGGCAGCGTGTTCCACACCTTCCTGTCCAGGAAAGAGCTCCTGTATATTTTCGCTGCAGATCTGTGCCGGTACGCCATACAAAGCACACTCCACTGTGCACTACAAGTTTGTCCAACCTTTACATCAAATGTCATACATCCAGTTTAATGCATTATGAGTAAATGGGCATTCACTATACAAATATGCACGTTTCCGCCGATGTAGGTCTATCCATCTTGCATATGTGAGTGATATAGAAGTGAAGGGAATTCCTGCCTTCCGCTTCGCACCTCCACCTGATGTCCTGGCTGCCCCGGATGAGAACCCCAACAATGCTGGTTTCTGTGTTCCTGCTGGGGACTGCCTGGGCAAAGGAGTGCTCAAAGTCAGCGTTTGCCGTGAAGGTGAGGGCTAATCTCACAAGTCAAACCCAAGTTTAAAATCATAGTTTATTTACAGGCCGCATAAGCAAGTCTGTTTGAGATTGCTTAAGTGCATTGGGTCTGGTACCATTTAAATCTGCTGCCAGAGAAGTTGCACATGCATGTTCGCACTCGCAACAGTAAAGTAATTATATCCGTTTAATTAATTAATTATATCCATCACTATATAAAATATGCACAAGGCTTATTTTTTTGTTGGACGCACCATGTTTTTCCAAGCGCGAGTGTGAGCTCATTCAGAGCGCAGTTATCTGTGCTTATCACTTATTGGCTAGTGTTTATCATTGTGTTCAGAGTAACAAATAGCAACTGATATTTGTTGTTCAAAAAGGTAGGTTGTGACTGAATTTTCAGCTTTTTTAGATCACATTTTTTACATATCAAATAAATGCACCAAAAACATTGAGAAATCCTGTTTTTAAAGGAAAAGAGTAGATAAAACCACTGAAACCACAGAGCCACTTTTCTGCTCTGGTCACTATAAACTTCCTTTACTTGTTACATCAGCCATGTAGCTCCAGTAGAAAATTAAAGATGAAAACTTGGGACACCAAACATGTCTAGGCTGATCAGATTCTTTTGGGATAATGGGAAAATTGTGTAAATTGGATTTTTCACCAAATTTTTCTTTTAGTTAACAGATTTCCTTTAATTTGCACCAATTTATTGCTTAAGAGGCATGGTAAAAGGGGGTCGCGGTACTTTGTAGTTCAGATGAAATGTTTTATTTGTAATTCTTTTGGTTTGTTTGCTGGATTAACAAGTTGTCCCATAGCACTGTGATGCTGCCTACTATGATCGCACCTTACACGAGAAAAAAACCCTACCTTCAAATGAAATGCGAAACAAGATTATATCTTTTCGGAAAAAAACTGTCCTTTATTGTTTCAGTTTCGGTTGGATGACTCATCTTTACTTCTTTATGCGGTGTTGCATATGGGCACATGGGCGCACACACAGTCTCTCTTGAGTAATGTGTGTGCTGTGCTGATGTGTTTGAAGACTTTTATAGTAGTGCAGGCAGTAGCACATCCGAAAGCCAAAGGGCTAATCAATTCCACTGAACAGCATATATTCTTAAAAGTAAATTCCTAAATGGTTCTTGGCTTTGACTTAAAGTTTTAAAAAAAACTTTCTTTGTACAAAACTACAAGTCCCCAGCATACAACTTAACAAATCTGCTCTTTCATCCTAATCAACATGTGTGCCACTTCAGCTGAAGTTCATCTCTGATCGGTCTGCCTTTGTTTGCTCTCTCCTGGACAGTGATAGAAATCAGAGTTCAGCACACAAATGCTTAATAAGTAACTTCAATTCAGGACCATCCGCTCCAGGCTGGCTACAATAGCTGCTCGATTGGGACATAGCCATGTTAAATCTCTTTATTGCTTCCTCCATGAATCGCAGTGCTGATAGCAGTGACTGATGATGGTGAACTCTTTCTTTATCACGTGCATGCTCTTTTACTGACACAGGGTTTTTCAGTTTTTACATGAAGTAAGGCTTTGTAAAAGATCACGTACTTCTTTAGGGAAGTACAGATTGAGTGGTGGCTTTGCATAACTTGCTGAAACTGGTTCACTGCTGGGTTTGACCAGCTGGGGTATAATTCAGGACATGGTCAAACTGTCACAGACAGCAAACAAAAAGTGGAATTTGACTACTTCATGAAAGTTTGGCAGGTCACTGTCCTCCTGTACCTGATCACCTAAGTTTTGGGGAGAAAGTTCTCTTCTCTTAGCTTACAGATTACGATGGCTGTTTGATCTTTGGTCTGTAGAGACAGATTCAGAAAATCGGCTTATTCTTTTCTTTCAAAGTTACCTTATGTTTTCTGTTGACTGTATTTGCCATGCACCTTGCTTGATCCTTAAAGTTTCTCTTGATTCAGAGTGACGTAATATGTTTTAACAGGCTTTTCCCATTCTCTCTACTTTTTTTATAGGAGCACCTATAGTGGTGTCATTCCCACATTTTTATCAAGCTGATAGAAAGTACATTGATGCCATCGAAGGAATGAACCCGAACAAGGAAGAACATGAAACGTACCTTGATCTTAACCCGGTGAGCTTGTCAGGGATTTGACTGTTTTTTACAGTACTTGGTTGATGTTTGTAATCATCAGTCAGCTGTTTAGACAGATCTCATGACTAAGATGACTTGAAGCTTCTGATTGTGTTTCGTAAGGATTGCCGTTAAGCCTGGTGGTTGATTGAAAGTCAGCCGCATGACTTGCAGTTAAAGGAGCTCAAGCTAAAAAAACTAGAAGTTGTGTCTCAATGTTCGCTAAACATTTTGCATAAAACTGACTAATAATACTCTAATTAGAAAAGAACTATACATCCTGCTATTTGTACACTCTCATAGTGTGCTATATTAAGTGTGCATGCAGTTGTTTTTGAGTTATTAGCTATGTTTTACATGGTTTTCCTTTATTTAAAAAAAATATTTTGTTACAGACTACTGGGGTCCCAATTCGTGCCTGTAAGAGAGCCCAGCTAAATGTTATAATGAAGAGAGTCCCTGGATTCCCGTAAGTAGTAGAAGTAACTTTGTACCTCCTAGAATGCTTTAATTCTACTCATTCAACATCTCCTTCGTAGTGTTTCCAACTCTTGTTGGAAATTCCTCTCTAATTGTTCCACCCTTGTCTGCTTTCTCATTTTCAGCCAAACAAAATTTCTGAACGAAACTATCTTCCCCATTATGTATGTCAACGAGGTACGAGCACTTTCAGTCTCTTTGCATGTTTTGTGCATCTCTGACATGATACCTTTTGCATACAGTCAGGCTGCCTCTGGGCTGTTTTGTTTTAGTAAATATCTGCATTTCTATGCTTTTCCAGACTGCAACCATAGATGATGACTCTGCCAGCCAAATGAAAACTCTGCTCTTAATCGTGACAATGGTGTCAAATTTTCCCGTGATCATTGTGGGATTGGGCGCCATCTTACTGCTGGTCCTGATCTTCCTGGTGTGCAGAAACCGTCAGAGAAAGGTACGATTGCCTTCGCTAGCTTCACTCCACAGTTTAGTTTTATCCAAAACAACTTGGGTGATTATCCTCAAATTAGTAAGCAAGTAAACTGTCTCACAAATCATTACCTATCTGAATGACACATTACCGTTTGATAATTGTGATAAGTGATATTTTCTGTTGTGAAAAAAGTAAATTGAGCATAGTATTTAACTCAACACACACAGAAAGAAAAAGATAAAGTTAGTAAGGGTAAAGGCTTTTTCCATGTAGGACTGTATATCTATGAATACCCATATAAAATATGACATGGGTGGTAGTTTGTTGATTTTTTTTGATCTGCCTTACTACAGTAGCTCAGTTTGTTTCTTGGTTTCTAAGTAATATACCCTGTTTGGGAGGCAGTAATGAGATCATACATTAAACAAAATGACTCAAAACAGAAGTCTTTTCTACAAGAAGTCTCCATTACATCACTTGTTATGAAGACATTGCCCAACAGCCATTGCAACAGCTCCCTTCGTAATGCTAAAATAAAATTACTCAAGGTTAAGATAACTATAGTGTACTATATTTGTATTTTGGAGGAATTTTAAGAATAAGGAACCATAAACCCACACAAATGTTCAGCAACTCACAGCAGACCTACATGTGGTTAGCATGCCAGCGACTGATAGATTCAATCAACTTTTTTGTTTAGTCTTTATCCACGTGCATGCATATTTGGTGCATGAGGCTAACCATTAATGCATGTGCTATTTTAACTCTTATTCTGTGATTTACTCTACATTTATTTGACCAAAGTTTCACTGCACTAGTTCAAGTTAAAAAGGTCTGGATTGGATTTTTTTTAATTATAAGCTTTAGCACAAGAAAGCTTTGGATTTCTTTTTACACAGTAGTAGTAGGTGTGTGCCTTTTATTTTTTATAGTGTTGTATTACAGTGTGAAACTTAAAAATGTATTTTGCATATTGCTGCCATGTTTTCATTTTGAGTAACATTTTCCCCCCCTTTTTTTGTGTTCCTGTTCAGAATGAAGTAAAACGTATTGATTTTACAGAAGCTTTTCATTCTTTTGCTGTAAGTCAATATTCCCCCCTTTTTTTCCTTTCATTTTCTCACTATTCTGCTTGTCATTGTCCATAATTTAATGCTAGTTATAAGTGATAGAACCTGTGTTTTAGCCAGTCATAAGTTCTATGCACTATTAAGTATCTTTTTCTTTGATTTGGTATGTGTTTTATTATTATTTGTTGTTTGTGTTTGGTTAACAATAACATGCATTTGTTTATGCAAATCATGTTCTTGCATGGTTAATTTGGTACAAAGAAGTTTGTAGTTTTGTTTCAATTTTCAGAATTCTTTTTTGTTTTTGGACAAACGGTTAGTTTAGACGTGAGGTAGAACAGTTCTTACAATGGAGAACTCTTTCCTCTTTCAACTCGAGTGTTTCAATACGTGCCCTAAACTCCGTTCCTGTGTGCCCTCACAGACGACGAAAGACGACACGGCCTACACTCCAGTCAGCAACAAATCAGATGACTCGCCCGAAACCCACACTAACCAGCCTCTGAAGAACGGCTCCTACATCGCCATGTCGCCAGTGGAAGCACAGAAGTGTTGATGAAGATCACTGTGTGGAATCCCCCTGGAGGGATCCACCTCCGTCAGTGACGTTCCTTCCCTCTTTTCCCCCTTTCATTCTCTCTTTCCACTGTGCAAAACGTTCTGGGGCCAGTTCCTAGAAACGCCACTGTCAGACACTGCTGGTTTCTGTGGTTGTCTTGGCGGACTTCCTCTCTCCTGCTGACTTTTTTCCTCGCTCTCAGAGCATGGCCTTCTCGAACTGCCATATTTTTTGACACAAAATAATTGTATTACTCGAAACACTCAGTGCTGTTTGTAGCTCCTGAAGCTTTTTGTCGACTAGACACAAAGTGGACTGAAAATACTCACCTTTTGGGAAGATAATGCCCACCTGCATGTTCACTGATGTGTAGTTCCTTTTAACCCTTAACATGGGGCTGAGAACAAAGGGAGGGTGTTTAGGTGAACACATAAAGATTGCTTTCCATTGGCTAGCAGGAGCCACTTTGAACACCAGTGTTTAGGCAACGCCAGTGCTCTTAAAGTATACAATGAAGTTTATTGCCACACTACTGAAGTGAAGTCTGCATTGCCAGACTTCAGCTGACAAAGATGTTTATTTGCCATATCCTTTGACACTGAGTAGAAAGAGTCAAGCTGTAGCTGTGTGCCTCTTCTAAGACTATTTAAAAAGCTAAACAGGGGCCTCGCATGTCAAGGAATTTACTGGGCTCAGTCCCGTCATGGTCATATGTGTGAATGTGTTGCGTGTCTGTTTTGTATGTTTGTATATAAGGCCAGGAGCGCTTGCATATATCTTAGCCACACTGCTGTGAACTGCTTTGGAGGGGCCCATGTGTTCTCTTAAGCTCGATGCAGTGGGAAAGCATGTGGACACGGATTTCAAAGAAAGGTCCTCTTCAGTTTCCCTTTTATGACGTCTTTTTGAACATATTGAACTTCAAACTCTGTCTGAATGCCCTTAAGTTCCTAGTAGGTGCCAGAATTGTTAAGTAACACTCGCTCCTTTAACTTTTAAGTGGTTCAGAGGGTCTCCACCACGTGCTGTTAAAACAAAAACTTCTGATCCTCTAAAAAGGGAGGGGGAAAAGGCTTACAAAATGCACAAATGGGACTTGAACCTACTCTCTGCCTTACACATACACAAATTTGCTGCACGGCCAGGGCGACTTTGAGAAAGGGCTCAGTAGCATTGTAGTAAAAGTGTCAGACCACCTTTGAACAAGTCTGCTTGTCAAAACATCTGCAAATCTTTGACCCCTAGCCCTTATGTCATGTAAACAGCGGCCTAAGGCATCTACTCTGCAACTTGGAGAAAGCACAAGGTCAAACCTTTTTTGTTTTGTTTTTTTTGGGGTGTTTGTTCGCGCCGTTTTTTCTTTAGTGTCTTTGTTGAAGGCTGAGGAGAGCAGAATTCAGGCAGTTACACTTAGATCTGCACATTTCTGTGCGTTAACTCTTTGTGAGCCAATGGGCAAAATTACAGCCCTTAACAAACCTGGCACTTGAAACTGTTTTTCCTTTAAGTGTTCCTTTTTTTTTTTTGGTCCATGATGTTCAAAGCCTTCAACTGATGCACCTCAAAAGTGAATTAACGCCATAAAAAAGAAGTCAACTTGAAAAACAAAGTAAAAGAAAATCTGCACTTTTCAGAAGAAGAAAAATGTTTGTGCGCGTTTTTTTGTTTGTTTGTAAGTCAATGCGTTGGTCCTCTGTTTAATTTCAGAAGTATGTCCAGATCAGTTTTTGTGGTTACGTTTTTTGAGGTTCCTATTCATTCTTGCTTTTCTTGGGACAAAGCCTACTGATTTTTCTCTTTATTCTACGCATTTTTGCTGCTAACAGATGCCGTAAGTCATAAACATTTGCACAGTTTGTTTGGTCACTGGCACTGGTGGCACTTTAGAGAAGGGCAGCATTCTTAATGCTGCATGACACGTACACAAGGGGACATCTGACATAAACCTTTTAAAAACATTTGTAAAGGCTTATTCCATCAAATGTCAGTTGTCATAAGCCTTTCTTTGGTGAATGACTTAAAAATTGACAAAGCAACAACTAACGCTGTTGGAATAAGTCTTTATAGATGCAAGTTTGTCAGTTGTCATGAAACACTTGCGTAGCCTTATGAATGCTGACCTTCAGTGAAGTGTTACCCTGGCACCATACCATGCCAAATGATTGTGCCATCTCTAGAATATATCAGAATATTCATAAACACATGTTACACTCTGCTCATCTTGATATGTTACTTGTTGCTATGATGGCTGCCATGTATATCATCCAGTATTGTGGCAAACTGTACAGATGTTTGTTTTTTCTTTATGTTCCTTTTAAAATCTCCAAGATTTGATGCACATTTTGAACTGGAAAAGCAGTGTGCATACAGCCTCTGTTAAGACTGTAGTTAGTAAACAAACGAAGACGTGAAGAAAGCATTTGTTTAACTGAAATGCAAGACTAATGGCCTTTGGTACTTGGTAGTCTATAATGGTTGGTAGCATGCCTCTTTTTGTAGTCAGCACATGCAGTAGTACACCAGTTTACAGCAATGGCCTTTGCTCATCATTAAACGTAGAGGAAGGCTGTGGTAAACTCCACTGGTCCACCTTATCACAAAGTGGAATGTACCACTTGTACTGACTTGAATTTTTAAGATCTACAACCTGAGCCATTTCCGTACAGCTGTCGGACTCCCTGTAGTGACTTTTGAACCTGGAGTCCCTTTCATCGGTTCACTCCCCTGTATGCTCAACCAAAGATAACCTTATAGATCGATTTGCCCAGTTTGTTTACTTTTACAGATACAGCTGTAGTGCCATCGATTTCCTCATTTTACGATAGTGGTTTCGCAACCGAGAACCATCGCCAACAAGGGCAAAAGGCAAAAAAAAATTGGAGTATTTTCAAAAGAAGCGTTTGTAACGATATCAATTTTTCAATATAAAGTGTTGCCACAATGTGCTAAAAAAACTCAGTATTATGTATTGACGCAGCAATACATTGTGTAAAAAGGAAATTTTATAGAAAAATAAAGATTTTGTATCAGGACAAATATTTATGTATCAACATGTTCAATGCTATGTACATTATCTGGACTTTGTAAGGTATTAGTTATTTTAGTTTCTGTTCACTTCTGTATTTTATAAATAATTTTTGTAATATCTCAGCTGGGATCATAATTCTTTTTTTTATTTCTTTATATTTTCCTTCTCTTTTCCTCCCCCATTTCCCACAGATTTATAAAGTGGTATTGAGTATGTGTTGGTCCCACGTTTGTGATTTGAAACAATGTGTGTAAATGGTTTGTATGTTCAGTGGCAGTGACTGAGAAAGACTTGTGATGTATCTGTGGGGTGTAAGCCTACTGTGTGTAGTGACCTCCTGTGCTACAAGTTTCTCAAGAAGCCGCCGCACTGTTTTGACCAATGTGACCTGCTGTAGGAAGGCTGAGTATCTGAGGTTTTTGTTTAGGGAGATTGCCATGGTGCCATGTTGGGTACAAGGGACATTTCTACTGCAATCAAACTTTCAAACTTAATTGTTTCCTTAGATGAATGACGCCCTCCTTCAGGGACGAGCTTCTAGTGCCATATCACCCTTGTTTACTGAACTTGCTTTAGTAATATGTGGAAGCAGTGTAGCAGTCGTTCCAACCGCATTTCAGTTCACATTCCCTGCTCTTTAATGAGCATTTTCATCTCTTCACGTTCATCTCAGAGATGCATTGAGTTTTTTGCTGCTGAAAATGACAATCCTCATGTGGTCATGTTAGGTGCAAAATCATTTCAAAGTAATATCCAGTTTTAGTTTTGATAATTTACACTGCACAAATGTTTCTACAGTGCTTTTTGTAAACATTTTTAGTGTTATTTGCACAATAAACAAGTTGCAATCACTGCAGAATGTCTTGTTGTATTTGTCTTGTTGATACTATAACTGTCTGCTCTCTTTTAACACACTTAACACATCCCATTGATGGAATCTGTACATTTCTGTTTAGGTAAAGGGTGGCTTAGTGGCATGAATACTTTACAGATGTTATAAAGTGATAAAAGATACTGATAAAAAAGATATTGACCCTAATAAAATGCAAAACAGACTACTATGAAGAGCAAGGACAGTTTGTCATTAGAACAGTATAGTATGTTGGCCACCTTTTGATAAGGACCCTGAGCTTCCTCAAATATCATTAAGACTGAAACTCATGGCTTTGCTCGCACGGCTCCAGACATGTTGGAACAAGTAATCGTCTCCATCGCTTTGAGCTTGTCCAGACTTTTTCCCCCACCTACGTACCACTTAATGATGAAAATACAGCTCTGATGAACCAATCTTACAGACCCACCCTCTACAATAGGCTGTTATTGAAGTGTTCAATGGCAAACTTTGTTGCTCTGACTCAGGGCTGCCCAAAGTTGGCCTATGAGTACATTTGATTTGGCCCACCAAGGCCCCACCTGCTCACTCAGTGAGCTTTTACAACTGTATTTTTGAAGTATTTTGGTAATGAAATATAAGGTAATGTTAAAAAACATTTTAAAAACTCCAACCTTCTTTATTTATATATTTTTTTTTATTATTTTGGTCCTCTGCCCACTGAAAGACAAAAAGTTTGGGCACCCCTGCTCTAAATGCTGAAGAATCATTAGGTCAGCCTTGCTTCTTTAGTTCCCCTACTGCCTTAAAAGTTTAGTTACAGCCCTAATCTATTGCACACCAGCTATCAGATCCTTAATATAGGCCACCAAATATCCCAAATGATGCTGTAATCATAACCAGAAAAACCTCTTCCCCATTGTAATAGTCCAAATTAGAGTTCATTTTCTTTAGTAAGGGCACAGATGGCTTAATGTAAATAGGATGGATGACAACATTTGATAAGATAAAGGCAATGTCACAGATTGGCTGAAGAGGTTTCGTATTTTCCTTCAATTGTTTGCTTCATACGGCAAGATAGTGATCAGGCAAAGTGTGTTTGTGGAGCTCAAGATTACATATTAAAAGCCAAAGCTGTTCACTGTTAACTGGCCTTCCGCAAGGTGCAGTACAATGCACTGGAGCCATTAATCCAGAGGTACAGCACCACCTGCTGGTCTCGAAATCAACTGCTGCTTCAAATGATACTGTAATAGAGAATGGAGTGGTGTACCAGTCACAGCCAACACTGTGGGGTGAAAGTTTAGCCAGCTCCACAAAAAGGCAAAAATGAACATCTGGCTTTTGTATCTCTGCCAATTTATTTGTTTTGCTGAATGCTGCTAAATCATTTCAAAAGAAAAACTCACTCTCGTAGCACTCTCCATACTGTAAACATTTCTCAGAGCAGACATCCTGATTGAATCAGCAGTGTGCCCATGCCTTCTGCACAATCTGATGCTATCCAGCAAAATAAGGGAGCACCTTAGGGGTATCTTCTCTGACAACTTGGGTCTAATTTCTTTGATTAATAACACGAAACTTTGTAAGCTGACATTGTAAGCCTATTTATTTGCAGACATTGTGCCTTGCATTAGTATTGTGATTGAAAAACATTTTCTGCCTGGTTTGGCCAAATAAAATGGTCAGAAATAGTGAGTGAAAATTTTATTCCTAAAAGGAAACTCTTCTGGAGATCACTTGAAGTGAAAATCTCTGCCTACCAGTAAATGTACATGCTTAGCATGTTTAACCCAGAATTGAAAATATTACTTTTATTTACATAAACTGTACACAGGAGTATCTATCTATCATATATACATCTGTCAAACACTGAAAGCATCCTGAAGAGTAATCTCTTCTATAGAGGATCATCTTCACCTTAAAAATATTGCGTCAGTTTGTACACAAAACAATATGTCAAGTAGTACAGTACTGTGCAAAAGCCAGAGACCACCCTTTCCAGTCAAAACAGCCATTAAGAAAAAGTTTTTTGTTTTTCAGTGAGAGGAAAAGGCAGAAAACAAATTTAACAGAAAATTATACAGAAGTCTCAACAACTAAATATAATTCTTTTTTTTCAATACTCAGTGTGTCGGCCCTTTGCCTTTATTTCCAGCTTCCATTTTCTTTGGAAGACTTTTTTAAAGTCTTAAATATCTCCAAAAAAAGGACCAACTTGTACTTAATGACTCTTTGACTGGAAATCCATTAAATGAAGATGAGTCTCTGACTTCCTTTAGGATTCTGAAGAGTAATCTTTTCTTCAAAGGATCATCTTCACCTTAAAGATACTGTTTCAGTTTGTGGACAAAAGAACATGCTGTCAAGTTGTATACGTGGAGGTATGATGTTGGCAGTCTCTGTTTTTCTTGAGTGAACTTGCTTGCTATCAACTTGTTACCCTGAGTGAAATGTTTTTATGTTATTGATCTCTTCAAATTAATCTTTAAAATCGCCGCCTCCAGAGATCCCAAAGCATTTCCACCAAAAAAAAAAAAAAATCTCTAGAGTTGTAGGTAATCCATAAGCCCATTTGCCATATAGCTGTGTCATCTGAAGGTTCCAACAGGCCTTTCTGAGAGCACATCCTCAACTCTGGGCCATCACTGACACTTCCAAGCCTCATCACCTTGTATCTCTTTCTGGTCACCTCCTTATGGAAAACCACTCTCTGAAACCCCTGAAGATCCTCACTATGAATCCTGAGCCACGACCACATAGGCGAGTCTGTTGGGAATGGAATGGATAAACCAACAGTACAACACTGTTGTAACCTATTGAGGTGGAACAAGAAGTCCACCTTCTGGTCCTGTTGTCTGTTGGGGCTGTTCTTCTGGAGGTCCATCCTGGTCCTCTGACCTACGCATGAATAAGCTTTTGCCCCTCTCTAACATGTTTCTGTCCACCAGCCGAAAGGACTCCATGAACTCATCAATGTCTATGCTGCCATCTTTGTTTGTGTCTGTGCTGACCACCAAGTCATTGATGGCTTCCTCAGAAATCTCCATTTTCAAATAGACACTAAGAAGTTTCCATGTCTGACAGAAGTCCTCGAAAGAAATGACACCTGGAGGACAAAAAACAACAAGAAGAAACACCACAAGAAGAATAAGATTAGTTAAGAAAGCAAACTTTCAGGCATATCTCACTGCTGTCAGAACAAAACCTTGCTTCTCCATTTTTGTCATTATCAGTTTTTGACATGATTTGAAAAAGGCCTGTTGCCCTTTACATTGTGTGTAAATTTCATGATCAATGGGCCAAAAGAAACGGCCCAAAATTAATTGGAAAAAAGTCTGATTCCATTGACTTACATTAAAAGTAATGTAGGTTTTTTCCTTCTCCTGTGAAGTTACCTTTTTGGGAATATGAGGTTTTGTTCCGACGTATCTACTTTGCAAAGAGTGCTGATCTATGATCAGCTGGCAGGCTAAGCCCAGATCAGGGATATGCTTGATATACAGTTTGGAGCCAGCACTTCTAAGATGCTTTCTGTTTCTGGATCAGACTGTGCCGACATACCCGAGTTGTCTGTGTCCACTATCCTGAAGATGGTCTCCAGAGTGGAGCGGTGTCTGTAAAGCGTCTCCAACAATGTCTGCTCAATGTGCTGCACACAATAAATGAACAGGAGGATTGTACACTAAACACAGCACAAATCATAATGAATTGACACTTTCCACATTTGTGCATGTGTATAATTAATAACAGGAAGAAAATGTTGACTCATTCTTAGACGTTCCCAGAGGTGCTTGGTCTTGCAGCTCTAGCAGTGCAATTAAGCTCACTGGCTATTTTTGATATATTGTTCTGACTTTTTCTCCAAAGATCCCTTGACGCTGTGTTTTGTTGAAAGCAGAAATTTGCCTTAGAAAGTAAACTCCCTGCATAAGCAGCAACTATATTCTGACAGTCCTGTTAGTTATCAAGGCTATAGACAAGGAGTGCCCAAACCTTTTGTCTTGGGGGGCCAAAGAAAGAGCAATGTTTGAGGATGGCCAAAAACACACATTTAAACATTAGCAAAATATTACTTATATTTCATAACATTACACTATATTTTGTTACAAAAATAATTAAAAGTACAATTTAAGAATGTTGCAAAAATTTCATGTAATTCATAATATAAAAATGTTTGTTCTCTCATTGGTTGAGGGGGTTGGGTCAAATTTAACATCCTCACTGGCAAATTTTGGCCCCAGGAACCACACTTGGACACACCCACTATAGACAGGTAATATAATATAATAATTGTCTGTCAGTGCTTAGTCTTCATTAGAGTAAAGAAGAGTTTAATCCCACAAAGATTTGGGCACACCTACAGTCCTGTACTGTCCTTTCATTTATTCAATTTCCTGTCAAAACAACCATTAAGTACAAGTTATTCAGTTTTTAGTATCAGGAAAAGCAGAAATATATATTTAACAGATAATTACACAGAAGCCTCAGCAACTAAATATAATATCAGTTTTTTTCAGTACTAAGTGTGTCCACCTTCTACCTTTATTAGAGCTTCCATTCTTTTCAGGACACCTGCTTTCAGTTTATGAAAGAAATCTTCAGGGATATCTTTCTATACCTCCAAAGTTCAGTCTTAGAAGTTGGTTATATTGTCTGCTTCTCACCATCCAAGTAATACTAAACACATTCAATGATGTTCTGAGAACACCAGAAGCTTCTTTGTTTGATTTGCAAATGTTCCTATTTGTGTCTGTTTCCTTTTCTCAGTAAAGCATTCTTAACAGCTACACATCCTTCCAGACTCATAGTGTTGAATTGTCTTCTCTCAGTAGAAGGATGGACAGAAACACCTGTGCATTTTTTCAGATCTGAAGAAGAGTGGAGCCTGATCTTCTCCTATCAAAGATGAAAACTGTTTATCTGATGGTGACAGTTTTGTTGGTCTCCCAAATCTTGCACAGTTGTTAGGGGATCCCAATTTCTCTGTATATTTTAATGACTGTTCTGAGCTCTAGTTTTGGGAACTCCTGTTTCTTTTTACTTATTTTCCTTTGACTTTCCTCCTCCTTATGCAAGTGGATTATCTTGTATCTACTCAGAAAAATGAACTGAATATCAACTTGTATTTAATGGCCATTTTGACTGGAAATTATATAAATGAAGGGTAGTCTTTGACTTTTGCACAGTACTGTAGCTCTTCAAAAGTCTTTCTTTGTCAGTTTGCCACAACTTATTAAATAGAAAGCTATTTTTCCCGGCAAACACTGCAAAACTACTACCTTGGGAATAATGCTAAACCTCTTTCTTGTGATGTCAGCACTCACTAAAAGCACATATTGAAACCGCCTTTGGGACAAAAGAGTTTCAATATGTGCTTTTAATGATAGTTTGGATAAGAACTGTCAAATCATTATTTGGGCAAAACCTGCTCTTCATACCAAGGAAGACACTTTGATGAATAGGTGTTGCAACATATATTCAAAGTATTAGTAAATAGCTGTTTCATGGTAACAGAAACCTGGCAGGTATTTTTCTTACTCAGAGGAACATAATGGCAAAAAGTTTACTCCTTACTGCAAATGCAGTGAATTAGCCAGGATGTTTGTTTAAAGTTTGCTTTTTTGTTTTGCAGTGGAGCTGCAAGGCTAATGTCAAAAAAGCTGTTGTATAGCTAAAAATAGTAATAAAAGTCATCTTGCTGTTTTGTCTGTACTATTATCCATTTTTATAGATAACAGCAGTGCTAGCCTTACCTAGTAAGCTTAGGGCCCTGCAGCCACCAGGGGGCCCCCTAACAACTTTAGGTAATTACTGTATGGTACCACTGTATTGTCTAAGACACTGGAGTGAGGTGAAAAACTGACTGGGTAATCTTGTCTTGTTTTCATTTTGAGGTGTTAATGTTATGTCATTTTTTGGCTTTTGGTTGGACAACAAGATTTAGTCAATCTGGACAGAGAATGCTGAGATGGCGTTCTGTAATTAAACTGTAGTTTATCAGCACCCTAAACGGGCATTCAATATCATCCAATCATCAGCAAGTCACAAAATCACCTTTTTTTACATAATTTCGACAGCGTATGGTGGTCATTGTTTATAGTTAGCCTCAAATTTTACAGTACATCAGCTAGCAATCTAACTGATTTGTCAATGTTATATAAACAAATTTAGGATTCCTAACTTAGGAATGTTCATTTAATAATAAATAATGCATATGTATAAATATTCGGATTACACAGAGTAAAATATTTAAAATATTTGTATGATATTAAACCTGAGTGTTATACTGAACATCCAGCAAAGCCTGAATGAAGAATATACAATATAAATATGATAAAACACGGCTTAAAAACTGCTGATCAGACATATCCAAGAACTGTGTGGGCTAACGAACAGCTTCATTGACAGCTTTCTGTCCAAAACTCCTAACCTCCTCCACAGAATTAAAATCATTATCCAGCTTTTATGTGACGGTAAGTGGACGAAAAAAGGCATGGATAAACAGGTGTGTAGACGGATGGATAGATCAACAAACGGACGAACAAAGCAACGTGTGAATGAAGGAAAAAATGAACGATGCGTAAAGGAATGGGCGTCAGGTAGCTACAGACAGGTAGTCTAGCTTGCTAGCTTTTGGTTATGCTGGGTTAGCTTTAGCTTGCTGAAACTGTTTTGTGTGGGTGGGGCAAGAGACACAGCCTTGTGGTTGGTAAGGGGAATTCTTACGGAAGTGTTACCCAAGATTAGGACCGTCCAGTTTACACTAAGAAGAGAGACATATGGTGAAATACATGGATCATTGGAACATCATTCAAAGGATATACTTAGTACATGTTTACTGTTTGCATCCAAGAACAAGATCAACCTAATTAGAAAGAAAACACAGATTTAAGTTCCCTGGGTCTTTAAGACTGGTCCTTATACACACTCTAATTCAGCAAATCATCCATTATACATAAACAAAGTAAGACTCAAACATGAACAGGACAGTTACTAAAGTTGATCATTTACAGCGATAGCTTTTTGAAACCGTTTACAAGGTATATGTCTGGGGAAGTGCCAAGGCAGATGGGGTCCCCCAAAATGCTGCTTAGAGCCCCCAGAATGCTGGAGCTGGCCATGGATAACAGAATGTCATACAGGGTCAAAAACCACATGAGCAAATCAGTTTGAGATTATGTAACAACTAGACATGGTTTGAGGAAAGTATATGATGATTTCGGCATGCAGTTTACACAGTGCTAACAAACAGCTAGGATGTAAGCATTCATTACATGTTCACCACATTAGCTGCCTGCTGCAGTGTGCAACTAAAGAGCCAGTGTCTACACTATTTGAGGTGTAAATTAGCTTTTTTCTCACAAAGGGCTCAGCAAGTAGCTGATACACAGAATCGGGTGTCTCATCAGATCAGGAAAAACACTAGTGCTGTACAAGGATGATTCAGGAATTAATAACACACCTGCATACCAAGCATCAACTTACCTCACAGCTTGGCTCCTTTATGGCGAGGTTACGGAACCAGTTGTTGTAGTCCAGCATGTCATCAGTGGTGGTGGTGATAAGCTGAGAGCGCAGCATTCTCCAGGGCAAGTCCAGATGCAGCACCTGACCCACTGCACTGCCCCAGTCATTCAGAGAAATGAGGCCTGGGAGTGGACACAGAGACTGTCATCAACATCTCCCAAAGAAATGATACATTTTGACTTGCAGCAGGATTATATATCAATATAATAGTCAATTAGAGTCCACTGGCATTGTGGATTTGACTCTGTAATTGTAATTCCACCCTTCATAGGATTTGGCTCTGTTTTAGATCCTCTTAGTCTGCCAAGGCAAAGCACAGATGGAGATTAAAGCAGCTAATGAAACAGTAACTAAAATGTTCTGAATTCCACCCAATCACTGTCCCCTGCTTTTCTTATATAATAGTAGAGCAAGGAGACAGGAAGCAGACAGATTTTTGATAAGCATGTGAAGAGGAGATGACTCTATTACACAGAGGCCTGTTTAAACATACTATGTGAGGTCCTTAAACAAATTTCCAAGATTGGTAAAGTTATGATACACTCTGTAAGAAACTGGACAGTGACACAGTGTTGTTGTTTTGGTTTTGCACTCCAGCACAGTGTATCAGAAATGAAACAATGATTATTAAGTGAAATTGCACATTGTTACTTTTAATTTTTTAGTTTACAGCCAAGGAACAGATAAGGTGTATATATATATATATATATATATATATATATATATATATATATATACACACACACACACACATGTTACATCTTTACCTTTTACCTTAAAATGAATGAAGTTTTAATTCTTTTTGAAGTTTAAATTGTGCATGCATTAAATTCCTGCATTGGTGGGTGGGATTTTATGTTAGGTGGGCCCCTGATTGTTCAAAAATGACCCTGCTATAGCTATGCTCAACAGTGTGTTCTTGCTTTTTCACAATGTAACAAACAGCTTTTTATTGTTTTAGTTTTGGCCATGTCTCTGATTGATTTGGATTTTTTTCAGCCTTATGATGGCCTGTTTTACTGGCATTGGCACTTCTTTGGTCCTCAGGTTCAGAGACGACAGAAACAATCTCTACAGGCAAACACTATGTCTAGAGTCACCTCTAGACCTTTCATTAGCTCTCTTGCAAAGGAAATACTATCACACCACTAGCCAGAAAAACTGAGAAGCCAGCTGCCCATTCATAATGGTTATGGTTTATGGTCCACACCTTCAAACTCAAGTTGACATTCTGCCCTCTAACATTATTATTGTTTCATTTCAGATCCTGTGCTGGAGTATAGAGCCAGGAAAATACTATACATCAGCAGTTATTATGAGCGAGGTCAAGTACTACTCATGCAGATAAGCATGTGCATGGGGTGTGTACAGGACAGAGGAAAATATACTTTTGCTTAAATTATGAGAGACTTTGCATCCACCATATAGTCACATAACAAAGCTTTTCTCATTATACATATGTCAAAGACAGCATGATAAGGGATCACACAGACCTTGCATTTCAGGGGCTTGTAGTCTACAGGCATTAGATCACAAAGCTCTTAAATTCTGTCTCCACATGGTTAAATCATTTTTGGAGCACATGCCCTTCTAATAATTTGTTTCAGAGAGGAACTGTGCTGCACCTGTGTTCTCCTTATCGTATTCCTGGAAGGCACTGAGGAGGTCTGACTTGTGCGCAAACAGCTGCTCTCTCAGGACTTTAAGAGCCGAGTGCTCCGTCCGTCTGACACTAAACAGAAAGAAATACCCAAAAGAAAGAATCAGCAAATGCCTAAATTGTGTCATGATGACCTTACTTACAGCAAACATTCACACAAAAATCAAATTTACAAAATTTACTCCAAAAGTAGTTGATCAGCCAAGCTATGTTTGGTGTCCAAAATTTGCTACTTTAATTTTGCACTGGAGCTACGAGGCTAATGTACTAACAAGAAATGAAAGCCACTAGTTTATTGTCATACAACTGCATTGCATACTTGTTCATGCGGTTTATAACACCTACTATAATCTGAGTAGAGTATAGGTAGAGTAGCCTAAACCCAAATTTGGGTAAATGTAAAAGTAACTTTCCAGAAAACAAACTTGTAAAAGTGCAAATGCAACAGGTCAAAAACTACTTAACCTCTTTCTGTAGGCTGACTCAGATTTCTAAGTAGTATGACCAAATAAAATACGATGTTCCCAAAACTCTGTTATCAGATTAACTAGAACATGTTGGCTTTCTGTATGTGAAATGTTGTGGCTCTGCATTGAGCTGTTAGAGAGCAATGAGGAGTTGAGTGTCCCTGGACAAATGACTTGTTTTGTTCATTTTCTAAGTGAAAGTATGTTCATACATCCTTTTCAGAGATCACACTTTTCACATTTTAATGCACAATTACATTACATTTGCAGAGTTCAACATGCTAGGGAAAAGTGGCCTGTGTATGTAAGTTATGGTACATTTTATATTATATTATATTATATTTAAATGTATTCACTAAATTGTAAAACTAAAATTGGCATTTGTTCCCTGTAGAGGATGTTTTAAGTTATTTTCACTTAGAAAAGTGTACACTTATTTTAACTTCACTTCATCATTTGGGGTAGACTTTTGCATACAACTGTATATGCTTCCACTTCTTGTTAGCCACATTAACCTTGTAGCTTGTAGTACAAAATTAAAGAAGCAAACTTTGGCTACATTTAGTTAAGGGGAAGTTATTGTAAATTTGATTTTGGCCTGAACATTTATTTTAAAATGAATGAAACAGTAGATCAGGACTGCTGCTACTCGAGGACATTCATAAACATTTTAACAATTGTAATGAATACGGTTTGCACTGCAGAACACACGACAGTTCAAAGCTAGAGGGAACATTTCCTGCTTTCCTATGGTGACAGTGCCATCAGCATAAGCTTTCAATTCATTATCTCTTCTATTTTGAATGTGTGATATGTGGAAAAGTGAAAATGATGGTTGATTACCACCACCTGCAGTACAGAAGTGGCAAAGCTCACCACTATTTTGAGTCCCTAATCTGTGTTAAGAGATGAAGAGCACAGTTTTTAATGTAGCATGTTTAAAGTTTGTGCTGTGTCTTAGTTAATCTGATAACACAGTTATGAGGAAAATATTTTTAATTGAATCATATTAATAAAAGTATTCCAGCCAATTTCATTCTGCCATTTGAACTGCTGCTAGGGAAAAGAGGCTATGCTGTTCATGCTCAAATTTAGTTTGTCTTCATGCTTCACTGTTTTTGGGCTTAACCGGGATCCACGATATGGCAAAATCCATATCATGAGACACTGTCATACCGGTATTCACTTTTATCGTACCAAAACTGAAAGACAGCTGAAATCGATATCAGGTTGTGCTCTGGTAAAGTGACATAGTAAAAGAAAACCAGCTACCTTTGCCTGACGCTCATTTCACGGGTCATGCTGTTGGCCTGGTACTGGATGAAGTAAGGCACTAGGTCTGGACCAAGCCTGATGAACGCTCCTCTGTTACTGCCCACCTCATAGTAGTTGGAGGCAGAAAAAATGGTGAGAACCTGCAGATACAAATACATTCACTTAATCCTTTGTAATGTCAAACTGTACACTGCAAATGAACAAGCTGAGAATAGGTAGATAGAACTGGAGACACAGATTTACATGTTACAGGTCAAATTCTACAATAAGATACTGGCCTACAGGCATCAGACACGTTAGGAGAAGAAATGAAGATAAAGGAGGAATTAGTGAGGTCCTACTTTCTCCATTTGTATGCCTTAAATAAGTTTTTCCCAGGTGAAAAGTACATTTTTGTACCTTTTCATAACCTTAAGTTTTAATACAGAACAATAACTTAAAAAGCCTGGAGACGAGAAAGTATTTGTGGAGTCAGTACAACTTAGAAAATATAATTTCAATAGAATATGGTACAATTATGTTCCCTGACTAAAGGTACTGTGATGCACCTGTGAGGGTACCACCCCAATGACGTGAGGGGTACTGCCCCAGTGACAGTTTCATACCTCTTTTCCTGTACAAAATGAGTGTACAAAATCTGTTAACTTACTTTCATTTCGAAAATCAGCAAAAGAAGTAATTTGACCATAGGAACCCAAACGTTCACGTTCGACTGTACCTTCTGTATCACCACCACACATGATCAAAATGCAGGTGATGGTTGCATCTTCCAGAACAGATAATGGAGAGGTTATTAATAAATCTATCTGTTTAAACATGTGAGCTCAGGTTTACCTTGCGGTTGTGGCAGAACTCGTATCCGTCTTGTTTGCATTCGTGGGAGCGGATGATGAGCTGCAGATTGTGTTTGTTTAAAAACTCCTCCGTCACATTGGGACCCCAGTAACAGCCTCCACCACGGACTTCATTGGGGATGCAGCCATTTGGCATCATGGGGTCACTCCAGAGCAAGTCCAGTATCTGATAATAAAATACAGTGTCTAGGGTGGTTGTGTACATGCAGGTGCCAAACAACGTTCTAAATGATTTACCAAAACCTAATTTTGACTGTAATTGCTGAAGTCATACTTGACCTTCAAGCAACCCATTCTGAAGTATGATTCACCTGTTTGGGCAGAAACTAGAACCCTCACTGAGAAGACGTTGTAGACTCATTAGACAACTATTTGAAACTATTTGAAAAAAAAACCAGCTGTCCTTCACATTGTGTAAACAGATGGACCACTAGATATGGACCAAGATTGCTTGTGATATGTATGTTACATTTATATAAAGTTATATATAAGTTTTCTTCCTTCTCATATAAAGTTAGTTTTAGGTATTTATCCATATTTAGTTTAAATTGTTTTATATATTTTTGGGGGTCCCCACTCTTTTTAAGGAACAATTTTTCCAGGACTATGCCAATATATACAATGATAGCGGTTTAATATCTTATTAATGCTGTAATTTTCCAGTTGTTTTCCCATGACTAGTCTATAAATTTCCAGGTTTTCCAGGGAGTGTGGGAACCCTGATTTAATTATATTAGTTTCAAACCAATCACTTCTTGCAATTTATGCAATGATGTTTTGTCATAAATTTGAACCTGATCTTTACTCTCTCTTATTTGTTCCTTATAAACATCACCAATGATCCACATGCTCCTCATTTCACAGAAAGACCCGTAAAGAAGTTCTAAAGCAAGCAGCTCACCTGTTTCCACTCATTGTTGATGTTTTCAAAAGTGTCTACAGAGTTTGAATCTGATTCAGATGATATGGACGTGTTCAGATGTCTGCAGGACAGGCTGTATCCAGGGTAGGCCAGGGCGGCCTGCCTACGCCGGACCTCCATCTCCTCTTCCATGGTCCGGGCCACAGTGGCCGAAAAGTCCTGCAAGGAGCGGCGCTGAAAGCTTTCGCGGGAAGGAAAGGGCCTGAAATAGGTCAGAGAGGCTCGCCTCCTGTTCAGTATGCTGTATTTAGAGCCGATCATGTCCTCATCTATCTCTGAGTCCACTGAAGACCGGACAGAGTAGGTAAACCTCTTCTTTGGAGGCCTCAAAGCAGATACATACTGGAGAAGAAAAGCAAACACACCAGTTAATTAAATAAAACATAACATTATTACAATAGTTGGTATATATAAGCTGATATGTATAAAATGTAAAATCTAATATAAATACATTAATATAAAAAGTAACTTGTAAGTTAAAGTGACAAGATTTTATTTTTAAGGGTCCATATCCAACATTTTTCTTTTATTTTTCCCCTCAGGTCCATTTTAACTTTCTTTACTCCTTAAAATTAAACAGGTTTTTGTTATTGTGCTTTTAAGATTTATATATGTAAATGAGCTCTGTTTTGATTGGCTGCCCTTTATTGTGCCTCATTCAAAAAGCAGTTTGAGCTGGAACACTCCTCGTAACTGCAGCGTGAATAGGTGGGGCAAAACTGCCGTAGGTGAAATAGACGAATATATGTGTGTTGGTTTTTGTGACATCACAAAAACAATGAATACATCACATCAGGCGATTTCTACTTGTCCATTTGTAATAAGTTACAAATTAGTTAGGCAGTTATAGTGTTATGTAACAGTAAATGTGTTATTTCTTACTTAAAAACAATATGGTATTGTTTATTCATAAACATAGTCTCATGCCAAAATAATAATAAAAATATTTACATATAGATAGATAGATAGATAGATAGATAGATAGATAGATAGATAAATAAGCAATTAAATGCTCTTTATGTAAATAAGTGCGTGAATAATTATGTATTATATTATAATATATATTACATAACAAATGTTTGTGTATATATATATATATATATATATATATATATATATATGCATTTGTTATATAATATATAATATACACACACACACACACACACACACACACACATACATATATATACATATACACATATATATAATGTAATTGCCAAATATTGCAGTGGTTAAGGTAAAGGTAAAGTGTTATTTGTCTCTCTGCATTATAGATCCAGAAAATATATGCGCCTCTGTTAACATGTTTGCTGACGGACACTGATTTTTTCACTTTACTTAAAACCTGTTTCAGTTTACTAGTTTGTCTAAGGGTCTGTTTGTCTGTTGGAGAGTTTGTATCATCTTAAGCCTCAATAAAGTGAAATATGTTGCTTTGTTTGTATTGTACTCACTCGGTGCCTGTCCACTCTGGCCACCAGAGCCAGGTCAGTCGTGTCTGAGATCCCTCCATGGACTATCAGCACCTTCTGATCAATCACTGTTGCCAGTGGCAACCAGCTGAAGATCTTCTGCAGTAGCTTCAAGATACGCTTACCGTGCATCTGCAAAAGAGCCAGAAATAGCCCTCAGAACCTGATTACAGTCAAAACAAAGAACGCGCCAGCAAATTTGCATGTTTTAAGCCTGCTTCCTCTGAGGTCACGTGGCCGACTGTACAAATGAGCATTGCACTCAAAAATAAATACGCATTTAAATACTTGTGATTAGTCACATTACTGTTCCTTTTATAGGAATAGCCGTTCAGGATCTGCTCGTATAACATTATTGGGCTGAGGCTTGAGTAAATCTGTCCTTAATCTCTAGGTTGGTCACTGATTTATATCGTCACATTGCCAGATTCAGTATTTGACCTACAGAGGTCTGACATGTCTAGACATTCGTGAACAAAATAGGTTAAAAACTTTCCTAAAGAGGAAAATGTAAGCCTTATCTTTATCTAATGCCTTGAATTTAAATGTTTCCATCATTTCCACATGGACAAAATACAGTTGTGTGCAAAAGTTTGGGTGCCCCCTGGTCAAATTATGTTTTGTTGATTTTCTAAGTGAAAATAAGTTAACAAATCCTCTACAAGGAACACACTTCTGCACATTTTAATGCACAATTACTGTTTATTTGCTGATTTTACCATATTGAGAAAAAATAGAACATAAATGTGGCCTGTGCAAAAGTTATGGCATATATTTGCAAAACTTTTGTATATGACTGTATATTACATCAACACAATTGCTGCAAACAGCAAAAAAAGTGAAAGACAAAACTGGGTTGGTATACTCATATATTCATATGTTTGGTATACTCATATATTCATATGTTTGAAAAACAATTTTGTTGCAGGTACATGTATAAAATGATTCCAATATGATGCTACTATTTCACGTCAAAAGTTTCAACTAATTTGTAGGGAGCAGTGCATGTCCAGGAGTGTAGACAATTCCTTAATGACTGAGAAAGTTGTAGAATACTGAGAACGAAGTTTTAATAAAATGAACATGCTGTATTTCAATCTCAGGAAAATGTGTATAAATGTGTATGAGTATATTATTGTTATTCATTCCAAAAATCATTGATTAAAACATCTTTAAATATCTTCTGGTGTCTAGCTTATAGTATTCTACACTGATTAAGTTAATATCGGATAAAATAACAGCAATACAACAACAGGATTTTTGAACAGTACTGTATATTTTATCCGTGTGGAACCATCCATGTACATTTTTGAATCATACAAACACAAAGCGCTGTTTTTAACCAATGTAGATGTAAGGGTTTTTTCCTCATAAATTTAGTCCATCAACTGCTGATGCTGCTTTGCATTGGCATTCAACAACTGTGCCACTGTGTTTATTTAAAGGCTAAGTAACAGCCAATACTGATGGAGCCAAAGATGGCTGATTTCTCAAAGCCATAGTGCTATAAAGACAGTGTAATCCTCTTAGTGGTGGACTGACCTGCATTCACTGTGAAAAAAAAACACTGGACAAGTGACCTGAGCTTGCCTTGTTAAGGTGTACTTAGCACACTTTTTAAATTTTCTTAGACATACAGTTTTATTACCACTATTTTCACTGGTATTGAAAAGAAAACCCTCTTTTGGGTCTATAGACTGCTTCCTACTGCCACAAAAGAGAGCTGCTTGCAATTTACATGAGCTTCTGAGAAAGTGCAATGAAATCTCCTTTATTGTTACATAAGGAGGATAAGGTGCTAAAATGGCAAGGTAAACAAACTACTGTGGAAGAAATTAGAGCAAAGGCCTACCTTGTATTTGCCCAGCACTTCTTTGGTGAAACCATACCTATGAAAAAGGAAAAGGAAGGCTTTACATTAATGTTGGAATGTTGCTGTGAGGATTTTACTGTGTTCAGCCACAAGAGCATTAGTGAGGTCAGGTACTGATGTAGGATGATCACAAAAGCCACTCTGGCTCATCCTAAAAGTAATGGATGGAGCTCCATCTCTTCAGAGAACATAGTTCCACTGCTCCATAACCCAGTGCTGACACCTGACACTGGGCATGTTGACCTGGCTCATGTGTTGCTGCTCCAGTGTGTACCATTCTATTAACAATGTTTTTCTATGGAGATTAAACAAGCTGTGTTTGTGCAATTGAAAACCTGTGTCAGCAATGAGTGAACCCTAAAACAGGCTAGATTCAAATAATTAGAAGAGGTGTCTGGATACTTTTGGACATACAGTGTACCTTTAATGCCTATATACTATTGAAATACCTCAGGTTTATTATGTGATCTTCATGATTTCCTCGATTAAGGTGAACTTCTCCAGGATACACCAACAAGAAGGCAAACAAAATGAGTAGAATCTCAATGGAGTCCTTGCCTCGATCTACAAAGTCTCCATTGAAAACGTATGGCTTCTCCAGCGACGGCATACCATTCTACAACACAATAATCAGGATTATAAATCACATTCCCATGAACTCTTTTCATGTAAATACCAGTTCTGGCACAGGTACGTCATCTTAATCCATCCTAAACCTACAGGATTACGATTTGAACAACACAGTATAAATGACCATCCTTCTTCTGCACAGTTAGAGAACTGTGAATTACAATGATGGCCAAAGTTGGTCCATAAGGATGTTTGATTTGGCCCACCAGAAAGTTATGTGAACTCCACCCCCTCACTCAATGAGAGAACAAACATATTTTTAGGCTATATTTAACTTTTTAAATTCTAGTCCTTTTAAAATTGTATTTTAAAGTATTTAGTAACAAAATATAGTGTGATGTTATAAAATATATTTTAAATACTCAATTTGAGACCTAGCTACCTTCTTTATTTGTATATTGTTTTGTCTTTAGGTGCCAATGTTGCACTTTGGCACCTTAAGTCAAAAAGTCTACATTGGTGTTCAAAGTTTAGTCTTTACCCTTAAGACACAATACTTACCTTGTAAAATATTAGTATCAAGTCCTCTAATTGTCCGTGCAAGTCACCTAAAATTAGAATGAATTTCTGAAGATTGGTGCCAAACCAAAGTGTACCAGAACATGATATCTAAACAACATCTATCCGAAGGATAAAGAAAAAATGATACAGGTTTTCTCACCACATATTGTGATTTCTTTGCTATGGCAGGTTGAGATTCGGTTGATATTTGGCAGAACTCTGAGCAACTTCCATGTTTCCACAAGAAGTTGAAGAACGTAACGGGAATGGAGCTGCTACTCAGAAAAAAAAACACACAAAAACACATAAACAGTGTATTTACATAACCATGGGTCATGTGAAGAACCTTGCAAAATGATAGAATAAATTAAGAACTGTGATATGATATACAGTCTCATACGAAAGTTTGAACACCCCTGTCAAATCACATGTCTTGTTGATTTTTCAGCTTATTCAGTGAATTCTGCACTGAATTATCATTCTGGATTTATGGGTTCTGTAATTTTGACCTTTTTCCTTTTGTTTCAAAGTCAAAAAAGACAAAAACATGGAAAAATGTAAAGGACGGTTTTTGATTATGCAAAGCAGGCTTACACAACAATGACTTTTCATCAAATTCAGATCATAATAAAACGTGTCCGACTTCAGAACACAAATGTGGTTAATTGAAGGATTAGAATCTGTATTTTGACCTGATTTTAAAGAGCTACGACTAAGAATTAATTCATCTAAAATTACATGCTCTTGTTATGATCAGCAATAACTAAAACTTTAGTGTCGTATGCATAAGTTCAAACACCCTTTGGTCAAATTACATGTTTTGATTTTCTAAGTGAAAATAAGTTAAAACATCCTCTATACATCCTCTAACACACTTAAATATGGCATGTTTATTTATTTGCTGAATTTAACATGTTGGAAAAATTAAAAACACAAAATAACTTTTGCACATACCAGATTTAATGTTTTATTTTTTTCACAATCTTTCAAATTCTTGCAAATAAACAGTAATTGTGCATTAGAATGTGCAGTGTGCAAATGTTCTCTGTGCACTCTTCAAAAAGATGGTTCTTCAAGGGTTCTTTAGTAAAGACAATGGTTCTATATAGAACCATGAACACTCAACAAACCCTTTGCATGCTTAAAGGGCTTTTGCATGGTGAAATGATTCTTTGGATTGATGGAGAATGTGTTGTATAGGGTTCTACATAGAACCTTTTTGAAAATAGTTCTGTATAGCATCACAAAGGGTTCTTCTATTGTTATAAACTTGACAATGTAACAATAACAGAACTCCTTTTGGTGCTATATAGAATCATATACAATATACTTCCCACCAATTTAAAGAACCATTTCACCATACAAGAGCCATTTAAGCATGCAAATGGTTCTTTGAGTGTTCATGGTTCTATACAGAACCCTTGAAGAGCCATCATTTTTAAGAGTGTAGAGAATGTGTTAGCTTTTCTCTTAGAAAATTAACAAAACATGTCATTTAATCAGGGCTGCCCCAACTTTATCACTAATAAAACTGAATGATCTATTTATTATAAAAATAAGTATCTATTTAGTATCTATTTGAATGGCACCATGTGGGGGAATGGAGTATCTATGTGTATCTGATTCAGAGTCCCTCTCTTTTGAAGTGATGTTATTGAATGGAGCGGAAGGCGATGTTTGGCAGGTTGTTGAAGCACCTACTTGTTTGTTTCGGAAGGCCTCTACGAGATCAGCAGCTTGTTCTGCATCCAATGGAAAGGTTAGCCGTGGGCCTGAGTAGATTTCTGGCACCTCAATATTCCTGTAGTCGAAGTATCTCTCCCACTCTACATCCCGGCATACTTCATTTTCTCTGAAGATGTGAGAGATCAGGTTTCCTAGAGAGTGGATCATGCATTATTAGCTCACAAACGGAGCGGCGATTAGAACTCCAGGTAAAGCATAATCGTAGAAGCACCTTACTTTCAGTGCTGGAGGGTGTGAAGTTATCCACGAGGTAACCGAGAAAATTATACAGCTGTGTATAAAGAGAAAAAAAATATTATTGTCATTATTTATAGTATTACTGACCATTACACCTCATTTGCTGAGTGTAGCTGCTCTGTTTTACACTATATTCTATGGTCAGTCAACTCATTCATCCACCATCAAACCAGCCTTGCATGTCTTATTTAATATAAACGCGTAATTAAATTTTTTTGCCTTGATCTGGTCCTGTTGGCCAGCATACTCTATGGACTGGAAGATGTTCCAGGTGTATCTGCGCCTCATCTCCATGCGGGCCACATACTGCCGGTACCAGCGCTGGATCAGAACAGCAGCTCGGATTGCTTCAGTGACAATGGGACAGAGTGCATTTACTGTCACACATTTTAAAATGACTATCTCTCTACATCCAAACACATCTCAGATATTTAACAATCAGAATTCACCACAGTGTTCCCACACCCAATGAGGAGGCTGTTTTGTTAACACATTTAGTATAAGGGGGCAATGTAATGCCTTGTAATGCTTATAAAGCCTTAAAGGGCTCATATAATGGATTTCTTTCTTTCTTTTTTTTTCATTAAAAAGAGTTGATGTAGAGTGCAAAGTCTGTTAAGTTACTAAACACATGCCATGGTTCAAACAGTCCATATTTGGCAACTAAGCTGCAAAAAAAGTGAATGATGCTGTGATGCTACAAAAACCAAGATTTCCATATATCCATCTAATCAGCCTACAGCAGTTTAGCTCCACCCATCCAAGTTATAAGGAGTGTTTGAGGGGGGATGCAGGTGTATACCATCCTCCTGGTCAGATCGAAAAGCATAAGTGATCTCCTTTCAGTCCGTTTTGGATTAACGATGTTATGTGATGTCTTTTGGGAAGTCAATTATCAATAGTCCCACTAACATTTGAGCTTAACAGGTTGTCTTGGATGTATCAGAAGTTTAAGTCAACAAGTTACAGTCAAAGAAATGCATATGTAAGCACTTATGTAATAGTTGCTTCTGATTGATCGTTTAAATCCACCACCCCACTTCAATTTGACTACTGAGCCTAACCCAATCTCAACTCTACTGACTGAGCATTTTTTTCCAGGTGTGACTAACTTCTATGTTGTTGACAGGCTAAAACCTAATGACCCTCTAATCAGATTCAGGCTCACAGTGAGTGGCCCAAAACAACATCTTGGCCAATCAGAGAAGGTTAGCCAAGTCCACAGTAGGCCATGTCCTAGTTTCTCTGGTGCTAGCTGTGAAGTTTGCCCGGCTGGGCCAGACAGCAGAACTCTGCAGGACATTGCACATTCTCTGATTTGTTAATCCTACTCTCAGTGAGTGAGGAACACAAGAACTAGTTGAGCATCACTACGGTGACAAAACAAGTTGCTTACTTATGGCCGCTACACATGCGTGCATAAGGAAGGAGGGAAAAAGTAGTTATTTAAAATAAATTAGTACTAAAACAAATAAAAGAAGCATGGATAGTGTGTATGCAGGCCTAAATCTGTGACTGTCACATCACAGTAATCTGGTCATACTGTTACCCTGTTATTATGTTATACTGTTATCATCATATTTATAACACACAAAAGCATCTACATTCAGACCTTACCAGGTTTAAAGGCCAAATTGTGGTACTACATCTAAAAACATGCATCTACATGTGCTATTACCTGAGATCCTAACCGAGATTATATTTCCATCTGTGAGAAGAAGAACACGAGGACAAATCTGTGGTCATACGTAATAATCAACTTACTGTACAACAGACTAACACTCGTATCCAAACGTTTGAACATCTCTGGCCAGATGACACATTTGGTGAAAGTAACACATCCTCTGCAGGGAACAAAACTTAACTATGGTATTTCTGTGCTAATTGTAGTGCACAATTTCTATTTACTGGGGAGAATAAACCCATAAAATATAAAATGTGTTGCAATTTTATGCTTTATGTTTTCCCAATATGTTACGTTCAGCAAATAAACAGTAATTATGCATTAAAATGTGCAGATATGTGATCTGTAGAGGATGTGTTAACTTATTTTCACTTAGAAAATCAACAAAACCTAATTGAGCCAAAGGTGTTCAAACACTTTGCATCTGATAGTGTAACTGCATGGTAAAGACATGCTGCAACCTGCTGTTCCTGTTGAATTGATCATTATGAATAAATCATGCAGTAAAGACACTCCAGTAGACACTGATGTTACCTTTGTCATATCTTTTATGGAATTCACTTCCTTTTGTGACCCCACAGCCCATCGCTTCTCCTACAATGTGAAGTATGAAAGTTAATTATTAAAAATGAACAAAACATTAAAAAAATGAAAGAACAAATCATAATTTATAGTGCATGAGTGCTTAACTATTGATAATGACACATAATTAATGAATATTATTAGAATTTTAAAAGTACAATGTTAATAATAATAATATTGTAATAGTATAATTATTAATATTCTTATTAAAATATATTTAATATTGATATATGTAATAAAGCATATAGGTCTAATAATAATAATAATAAATTATAATTATTATATTATAATATATAATAGTCATTTTATTATTATTATTGTTGTTATTATTATTTTATATTATTATTATTACAGTTGTTATTGTTGTTCAAATGTACGTAACAGTACAAAAAGTGACTTTACCAATACTGAAAGTCAGAGGATCCACATTAACAGCCCTAATAAAGGTCTAACAAACATATTGTTATTGTAATAATGCTTTAAGGCCGTTTGCGTGGCAGATAAAAACAAATGTCATGCTCTTCCGTGCCGTAATCAGATCCAGGCGACAGTTTAATCCGAGTTCATTCGTGTCCGGCCTGATTGGCCTCAATCCTCCTCACAGCACACACAGCGCCTGGCGTTATTTATTTTATTTCCCACTCGTATTCCAGCAAAACACGACGGACTGCTCTTCTGAAGCTCTAGCTAATCTCTGCGCATGCGCACATAACTATAAGCCAATCCTAGAGGGGGACGCGAGTTCCTGTTCGCCAATCACAGCACAGGGGGCGTGGTTTGATAGAATACGGGTGCTAAAACAGAGCTACGCTGACTCTGAACAAAATGAGTGATCAGGTGTAAACACTCACTCTGTGAGGTTAGAATGAGTAATTTGGCAGATAAAATGTGCCCCATGTTTCTAATCCAGAGAGATTAGAAACGTGATTCTGAGTAAATGAAAGGGTTTCCTCACAGTCTTATTTTGGCCCACTGTTTTAGTGGAGTTTAGTGGGCCTAATTAGAGCTATCTAAGAAGACAGAGGAGTTTCATTAGTAATGTATATGAATGGAGACAACAGCTTAAAAGTAAGGCTGGCAAAAAGTCTAAAAGGTCAGTTGACCTGAATGAGGTTAGATGAACTCTGTATCAAATCATAAAATTACAGCATGTTGTTTTTGGTCATTTTTAATGCAGATACTATACAGAAATACTTATTCTGTCCCATGTCACACATATTTCTCCTTTATCAAAAAAGGAAAAAAAATCTATGGTGATACTAGAAGAAACTATAAGATAACTACAGTTTCCTCTATAATATTTTCACCACTTTAAATATCCCTGTGTGTCCCAAACTATAATACATAGTAGTATCCTATTATAAACTATAGTTATAGTCAGGTTCTTATACAAATCCTGTAGAAATCCATGCAGTATGCCTACTCTTTTTCATAAGAGGTTCTCACTAGAGTTCTCACAAGAATGAGCCCTTCCATGAAAGGAAAGCTGGGCTTATTTTCTAACAAATTACTAAAAGCCTCCAGAAAGATAACTCACCTGGTGGATGTCTCTTCTCACCAAGGAAATCCTCAGAAAGGCTAAATATTTACTTCCCACACAAAGGAATTCTTCTGTTTGTCTTTCCCCATTGATTCCTGAGGTGGCTAATACAAAAAACTTAACTTGTTTGGAGCTGAGGCTTGAAAACACGAGGCAGGCGTATTTGTTGACACCCCCATATCCTCTGCCAGTGATCCACGGCCTTTTTCAAAAATCCACTGTGTCTTTTAACAACAAAAAAAAACACCCTGTTGTTCTAGATGTACTACAGAACTAGAGTCCTGTACTGTGGCTTCTGCTTCCTCTTGGAGTCGTAGCAGCCTGCTTAATTAAGTAAACAAGCCCCAAGGGGATTAGGGTAATAGCTTGATGTGCCTAGACTGAGCTTTATATAGAAAATGGCATTTTGTTAAAGGGCAGCCTTTGGCACTACTAGAGACTTATGTCATTAGGCAGGTGTACCGTGATCAATTTTTTGTGATTAGGATTATACGGAACGTGGCCCTGTAAGAACCAGATAATTAATTATACTCACAAAATGTAAAAACATAAACCATCCCTTATACACATGATACACTGTTCAGCAGGTGTAGGTGTTTAGTTATATTACATGCTTGCATATGACTTTCTAAGATCATACAGCAAACATGCAAGATGAACATGCATAGAACAGACATGTATAGTTTAAAGCTTGTATAGACATGTATAGAGTATATAGCGTGTAAAGAGTAGATATGCATATAGAGTAGGCAGGTATAGTGTAGACATGCATATAGTATGGAGTAGACATGTACAGAGTATAGTGTGGACATGCATAGAGTATAGAGTACATGTGTAGAGTATAGAGCAGGCATGTATATAGAGTACACATGTACAGAGTATAAAGTAGACATGTATAGTGTAGACATGTATAGAGTAGGCATGTATATAGTGTAGGCATGTACAGAGTATAGAGTAGACATGCATATAAAATAGGCATATATATATAGTATAGACATGTATAGAGTAGGCATGTATATAGTGTAGACATGTATAGAGAACAGAGGAGACATGTATAGAGTACAATGTAGGCATGTATAGAGTAGACATGCATATAGAGTAGCAATTTATAGAGCACAGAATAGACATGTATAGAGTATAGAGTAGACATGCATATAAAGTAGGCATATACAGAGTATAGTATAGACATGTATAGAGTAGGCATGTTTTGGAATAATTCATAAGAAAACTACATAATATACACATCCTACAGTCTTTTACATCTCAGAAATGGCAACTTTATAGGAGAACAAAACCTTTTTTAAACTTTAGGTTAATGTAAAGAGATTTAATTTCAGGCAATTTAGGATCATTTCTAATGGTCCATTCATCATGAAAATGTCAACACAAATGACAGCTGGTATTTTCAAATGTGAAATGAGTAGAAGTTGTATGAGTGTCAATGACAAAATGTAACCTATTGAAAATGACATGATTAACAGCACTAACAATATTGGAATCAAAGCTACATACATTTTGTGAACATGAGTGTTTACACTGAATGGCAAAGGTTTACATAACTATGTCAAAACACATGAGAATATGTTTTTAATGATATTGTGATCAACTTAAAGCAATGAGAATTGTCATTATGTTACACACACAGATGCTAAGCTTCTGCTTTGCAAATGTAAGGCACCATCTTGTGCTTATATCCACAACCAATCCACAGTTATATCACAAGTTAAAATCTTTCAGAGGTTGAAGACTTTAGTCTAAATTAATCTCTCACAGCAGCAATATGATTTACAGCAATTATAAAATCCACAGTTTCAAGCTGTCACAGTGCCAATGAGCGAAGTGCTCAGCTCATCCATATCACATTATAAAACTGACTTTTTTTCATTAAAACTGGTTCTGTCCCACCACACTGCAAATGAAATGTCATGTTTGAAATTTAACCTGGTCAGCGTTCCTGTTGAGACTGTCAGAGATACTCTTAAAAGGACTCATCACATGTCTGTGAAGAAAGAGAAAATAGGGTCAGAGTGGTGTCTGATATTAATGGGGAAAATGAAAACTAGGTTGACAGTAATTTAAATGTTTGCAGCATCTCTATGGCTTCACCAAACAAAAAAGTCTGGAGGCAGTCATGTGGTCTTATAGAGAAGCTGTAGTCACACTCACTTCCTTTTTCCTTTCTCAACTACTAGATCATAGCTAGTTCTCATCAGCTGCTGACCTCTGTGCCCTGTCAAAAAGGGCTAGTAGTAAACGACTGATTTTTGTCAGTCAGACTCCTGTAAGCTAGTTGTCTAATGCCGTCTTTGATAGCTAGCTGGCTATCTTTTGGATATGTAGTGATGATTTGCATCTGTAAAACTGGCACAAAAAAAGTTTGAACTTTACTTGACCATTTTAAGATCAACTTTTTTCAGCTCTTCGTGGTGCACTTAAAGACAGATGCATAACCCATATAAAACACTGTCATCGTGATCTAACCACATTTCAAATATTTTTTACCACACGTTTTTATTCAGACCTGTCTTCAGTCTGTTTAGCAGGGCATGATAAGTGGTTGGTTGGGCACTGCCCCACTAAATGAGCCCCTGGCAAGAGAAGTATTTCTAGTATGAAAGTTTTCCTTTAACTTACACTGAGGGACACTGTTACAGCATGTTACCAGGAAATGGCCAGATTTAATATATGCTGTACAAACTATATGAGCTGTGTGTGCTATACAAACAGTGATATATGCTCTCACCTCTCTGACCATGGTTTTGTACTCGTCTGGAGCGGCAGCACTCATTACTGTTGTATAGACTGTGATGCTGGACACCAGAAAACACTGAGGTTAGTGAATAGTGTAATGATTCATCATTCTGAAGACAAAAAATACTTATTCATACACAAGGAGTAACAATACATCATAAGCAAATTTAGGAATACTTTCTAATACTCGCTAATTATACCCTTAATCAATCAACAGATGTATCAATAGTGTTGGGTGGCATTCATAAAAATCAATATCGTAAAACAAAAAAGACATTTAATGTTGGATCATTTTGTTCAATTATTGGAGGAAAAAGAATATAGTTGTTTGTGGTATTTGATTTATTTGGAAAATAAGGAAAATATGATCATATTTTAAGTCACATTTATGTAGAAACAAGTCCATAAACTTTCAAACAGCACTGTATATGCTCATTCCAGATATGATGCCTGCGACACGTTCCAAAAAAGTTGGGACAGGAGCAGATTTACCAAAGTGTTACATTTGTGAAGACACAAACTGATACAGGTTTGAAAGTCAATTTTTTTGCCATTCTTCAGTTACATAGGTTTTCAGCTGTGTAACCAGCTGTTTTTCTTGACATTGCCATGCCAAAACAAATAGACAAACCTAAAAAAGCCAGCATCTAAAAGGCAGCAAATGTTGCTCCACAATATGTAGATGTGTTACAGATGTGCAAGTTACCCATGCTACAGGCCCTAATATACCCCCATACCATGACCGACCCTGGCTTTTGATCTTTACACTGGTAATAGTCTGGATAGTCCCTTTATTCTGTGGGCCAGAGAACAAAACGTCCATTATTTCCATAAATAATATAGAGATTGACTCGTCAGACCACAATACGTGTTGCCATGATGCATCAGTCCATTTCAGATAGCTTGAGCTCAGAGGAGTTGACACGTTTCTGGACATTGTTGATATATGACTTTCACCGTGCATAGTATAATCTTTACTTGCATTTGTGGATGCAGTGATGAACTGTGTTTGTTGACAAGGGTTTGTCAGAGTATTCTCGAGCTCATGCAGTGATATACATTACAGAAGCATGCCAGGTTTTAATGCAGTGCCATCTGAGGGATCAAAAGTCAAGGGCATTCAGCTGTGTTTTTTGGCCTTGCTTTTCACACACATATTTTTTTCCGGATGCCCTGAATCTTTTGATGATATTATGCACTGCAGAGGGTAAAACACTTTAAATCCTTGCAAACGCATATTGTTTTTAAACAGTTGGACTACTTGCTAATGCATTTTTTGGCAAAGTGGTGAGCAGCAACCCATCCTTATTAAGGACTCATTAAGGACTCTGCCTTTTCTGGATGCTCCTTTTATACCGAAGCATGACTACACCACCTCCTTTAAAATGTTTTTTTTTTTAACATTATAACTTAAATTGTCCCAATACTAACGTTTTTGGACGTATTGCAGTGAAGTTGATATGATAAAGCATTATCTTGTTTTGTATTGCTTTTGTGTAAATACAGATCATGGTGAATTTATATATATATCACTGCTTTCTGTTTTTATATGCATTTCACATATTGTCCCAATGTTTTTGGAATTAGGTATATAGTCATTCGTAAAGGCTTACAAACATCAACAAACATCAGTTATAACACTTACAGAGGTGAAATTACACTGAACTTTACAAAAGCAGTCTTTATGACAACTGCAATTTGTTGCAATAAGTCTTTATACATGTTTATGTAGATTTTTGTCAGTTGTCATGAAAGGCTTGCGTAGGTCTCGTGCAGCTGCACCCATCAAATGACATATTGCACTAATTCAGTTGTACTAATTAACCCATCAAACGACTATTGTACTAATAATGCTGTTACCTATCAATACTGCTAAAGCTAAAAATCAGCACTGACAATATATATCGCCTAGCCCTGAGGATCAAAGCCCAGCAACGATGACTAATGACTAACTAACTATCAGCTCTGTGGTCAGAACACTGCATAGATCTTTGAAGGATGATCTATGAAAAACTGTTGTTTTGGTCTCATGAGTCAACTGAGCATGAGCTCTTGTGTAACTGCCAAATTTTCAACAGTTCCTCAGTACTGCAGTTATAAGTGCTGTTTTTAAAGTAAAGAAATTGAGGAAGTGAGGTACATCTGGTAAATAAGCTGACATACAGGAGAAGTGAAAGCCCACCTACATGCATTTCATTATGTGACTGACTGACAGTCTAGCATTTTACCACAATCCACAAAAACTTACATCTCACCTGTTACAGACAGGAACCACTGACAAAACCTAAAGGAGAGAGAAATAGGGCTGCAGTTAATTCACACAACTGTCACATTGCTGAAGTGAATCACAAGGTATAAGAGGCTATAAAACCCATTCAAACAGGCCACATAATGATGATGTGGCCTGATTACTTGCTTAAATTTGATTAATCCATTTTTTTTTTAGAAAAGTCATCAATTCAAATTTACCTTCTTGATGAATCTGATTACTTACATGATAATAACTGTGCATTTTTTAAAATTATCCTACTGAACTCTTTTACAGTCAGAAACATGGCATTTTTTGTAGGATAGTGTTTATAGATTAAGTCTTTTTAATCCATCATAGTTTATCTTTCTGGGCTTGTTACTGTTGTATGTGTTGTGTTATTACTGTATTTTTACTGTTTGGCCGGCTTAAAAAAAACATTTCTCAGATGAACTGCCAAAATAATCTGTATGTTAGTCAATTCTTAAAATAGTCAACAGTGACTCATATAAACAGTCCCAGTTGTGATAAAACCTGAAAATGTCCTGGTTGAATGATCAGGCTGGGGATTCTGTGTCCTCTGATTACATTTGCCTTCGGGGGACTAAGAGGATAAAGAACAACAGTCCAAATGCCATGTTTGGTCCACCCTCAGAATTTCCACAAAAGAGTCTTTGTTTGTGATACAATGATACAATGTCTGTTTAGATCCACCACAACAGATGTGTTATCCAAACACCACCGCTCTTCAATGCAGAAATTCAACATGAATTTCAAAGCCAGGAATGTAGTATGGCTGTTTATTTATTTGCTCTATGACTCTATGATAAAAACAGTTAACAATACTAAAAACAGTCAATGATATAAAAACAATCATTAAGAAACTTCTTTGTTTACCTGATAAAGGGAACGCATGTTGATGTTATTTTGACCCGTAG